TGTCATTTTGCTGCCTCTTCCCATTGGCTATAACTGCATCTTGCACTGGGATTTTGGTTACCTACTCTTACTGCTGCTGCACTTGTTGCCATTGTTACTCCGCTGACTTCCCTTTTTCTTCAATTGTCAAACATTTCCAGGTACACAACTTCTGAAACCATATGTTGTTGAAAGTTTGAAGTTGAAGCAGAAATAAAGAAACGAATGTCTGTTTATGTTATAATACTTGTGTTCAAAAACAGGTTGAATGTTTGTTTGGCCTGTATTTGTTTAAATACAAACTGCAAATACTCTATATAAATTAACATGCATTCTAAGTTGAGATGAACAATTAGATAGAATTGGCTTGATAGATCAGATGTGTCTTAATGCATACGACCGTTAGTTTTGTTTCAGTTATGACATCATAACATAGAATCATAGCAAGCATATGTATGTATTTTGCCTAGATCTCTAAACTATCGAATCTGCTACATTCGGTTCCATGTGACTTCAAGATAAGTGTACCCCAAACTAATTCTCATGCAGTGTTACGTTAACAGGGTAATAATGTATGCCAACCCTTTTGTTAGACTACTTGTTTCCACATAGTTTCGATATGGGTTTCAATATAGATTCATCGTTTCGGAATAATGCGATGACTTTCGAGGAAAATTAATAGGCATTCTCGAATCCAATTAACAGTAGTTTTTCTTAATAAGTAGCCGATTTCATTTATCAAGCCTAAATAAGTTAATTACAAAGTTCAAACTTAAGGATTGTTTAATGTAAATTTAGTATGAGTTATCTGTTGCTTGCAATCCCTCCTATCAAATTAACAGAACTTATTCACTCCTTAAAGACAAGGCATGAAATAATTCTCACCTCATAAATAACCAATTAGGCAATCAAGCAAAAATTCGGATTCGTCATATATAGTAGAGATTTAGTATGTTAGTTGCTTAAACAAGTAAGTTTGATATTTTTCTCTTTTATTTTTTAGAGACAAACGTAATAGAAATGTAGTCGCTTCAGGATATCCTTTTTCTAAAATAATGAGACGAGCCTCGCCAAGTAAGAATGCAAATTGCGGGGCCCTCAATAACTAACCATAATAAATATTTAGAATTCGGACAGGCCGTTTAGCAAATTTCATGGCCTTCTCCAAAAAAATAATAATAAGAATGCGTTAAACTCTTTAGGCGCGGCTCGATTAAATTATATTCTTAAATTTGGGTGCGCTTTGATGTGACCCGATTCCAAATCTCAACGGAGTCGAAGTGTGTTTAACAATTACGGGTGCATTGATTGCAACGTAGTTCGAAATACATTTTCACGACGTTGCAATTCTATAAAAATAAATGATAATAATAAAAGCGGTTTAAACTTAATAAAAGCACGTAAGTCATAACATGTATTTAAATCAGATATTTAGCCATTATAACAATTTAAGCGACCGTGCTAGAACCACGGGATTCGAGGGTGCCTAACACCTTCCCTCGGGTCAACAGAATTCCTTACTTAGAATTTCTGGTTCGCANCTTTAGGCGCGGCTCGATTAAATTATATTCTTAAATTTGGGTGCGCTTTGATGTGACCCGATTCCAAATCTCAACGGAGTCGAAGTGTGTTTAACAATTACGGGTGCATTGATTGCAACGTAGTTCGAAATACATTTTCACGACGTTGCAATTCTATAAAAATAAATGATAATAATAAAAGCGGTTTAAACTAGTACATGAATTATTAACACCCAAAATATAGAATTTTGAGATAAAATTTGTGGGTTTTGTCTACACTTTAATAAAGTGTATTTTGGGGATTTGAGTATCCATTTGGACACTATTTTGGATCTAATAACATATATGGACTTGACAGATTATGGCTCATCCCGATTTGGTAATGATTCCTAATTTCAGGCACGCGACCCCGCATTGAACTTTGCTTATTTGTTGGAGATTATTCAAAGATTGAAGCTTTATTGATCGGAATTTTTTCCTATGGTATTGGTTGCTTCCTTGGATGATGTTTGGTTAGATTCTAACCGGTTGAAGGTGATCTATCAAGGACAAGCAATTTTGGAGCTTTGATTTGCTCAGATTTGGTAAGTGTCTTGCCTAGCTTTGATTGAGAATTTTTTTTTAACTAATTTATATTCTTTTCTACATACAGGGGTGATTTATATATATGAGGTGATGAGCATAAACACATTTGCCATGTGTATTCATACTTGGGGTAGATTCTGGTCTACTTTATGCCTTGTTGTTTGAATCATGCTCCACTTGTTCTATGCTTTACTTGATTGAATGACTACGTGAGCACCATGAACCCTGATAGAGATAATGTTTAGGTTAATAATACCTTATTTTGAGCATGACGAACTATTCTTGAGATCATTGATATACTTGATTTAAATATAGTCACACGTATATTATGAACTAACATTTGTATAAGTTATTATTGTGTTATGCATCGAATTGGTGTATGACTACTTGAATTTTCTTGTCCATGTTAAAGACTATTATTTAGATTGTGATGCTTATTTTGATTATCTGTATGACGTATTCCATGTTGGGTATGTGCTCATATATATATATATATGCATTACATCTTGCCAGGGATCATCCCTTGTACACAAGCACACACCCATTCATGGGTATTTCTCAATCCATGTGTATTATATATGTTTGCCTCTTACTCATACACATACATTACTGCATATGTTTCTCAGATATGGACCGAGGTTATGGAACAAGGTTTATGTCATGCGGATATTTTGATATCATATTAATTTAGCGCAAGGTATTTTCTTGTGCAATGATTATGATATTGTTATCGATTGGCATGAGGTCTTTATGTGATATGATATTATTATGACATGATGCTCTGGCTATGCCACGTGTAGATATAAATCCACCCCCCTAGGGTCGCCCTCTCATGTTTTTCTTTTGATGGCGTATATGCAAGATGTGAGAAACGGACGGGTTTCTAGTTGACTATCATATGAGATCCTATGTAATGAGTTATTGAGCATAAAGATGGAAGCTTTGACATTTAAGTGAATCCTTTGTGCATATTCATGCATTTTTACATGCTTTATTCATGTGTGTCTTCTATATATGCTAGTGGATGCATTATACACGCATGAGACTTGTTAGTGATTTATTGTGCACTTGGAGAGAATCAGGTTTATGTAAAAAGAGAGTGATCATCATACCATGACATGTTTTCTCGTGTAAATATTCTCATGTAAGTGCCATTTTGAATTTGATGTAGAATCGGATCGTTGTCAGGCATAGATAGTTTACATCAAAAGGAAGTATTCGAGTAAAAATCTCTTGGTGCATATTCATTTGTGTGAGTGGTTTTTTGCAAGTTGTATTGCTTTGATATGTTTAATTAGAAAATCATGCTTAATACTTCTACTTCAGATGTGCATCATAATTATTGATGTCCATTATTCCGTGATTGCTTCTTTGGATAATTTTGTATTATACATGTTATTGTTTTGGTTATATAAAGTGAGTATCTTTTGCATTAAAAAACCTCATCACTAATTAACTAAGGTTAGGCAAGATACTTATTGAGTACACGAAATTAGTTGTACTCATACTACACTTTTACACCTTCCATTGCGCAGATTTGAGAGATGTGTTGCACTGGGAGACTAAGCCTAGCATTGAATACGTACCGGTGTTCCAGATTCAAGCTACCACTATTTCATGGTAGTTTAGGACTTATATTTCTATTTATCTAAATTTCAAAACATATGATGTATCTTTCTCAAACCAGAATTGTATTCTTATTCTTAGTGGCTTATGACTTGTACTACCGTCCTTGAGATAGTTGTACTGGCTTTCGCAGCCTTATTTATTATTTATTGATATTTTATTGTTATAGTTGTATCTTATATTATTTGGCTTAACTAGTAGGTTGGGTTAGGTGTCATCATGACTTGGTGGGATTTGGGCCGTGATAAGTTGGTATCAAAGCCCTAGGTTCATATGTACTATGAATCATGAGCAAGTGTCTAGTAGTCTTACGGATAAGTATAATAACGTCCTCACTTATCTTCGAGAGGCCATGTAATGATCCAACCAATCGCTTTTAGCTTTTTCACTTTGTTTGACAGTTTATGACCTTGAGTGGCTTCACATTATGCATTTTTACTCTCGTATATGGTTGGTTTTGATTTTTGAGATGTTCGGAGTTGATTAGGAGAGTAATTCTCAATTCGGAAGCTTTAGTTGGAAGAGTTGACCAAGGTTTGACTTTTGAATAAACGACCTCGGAATATGGATTTTATGATTTCAATAGGTTCGTATGGTGATTTTCGACTTAGGCATATGTTTGGATTTGAATGAAGATGTTCCAAGAAGGTTTTGGATCTATTTGACGAAAGTTGAAAATTTAAAGAATTGGAGAGCTCACAAGTTTGATGGGGAGTTGAATTTGAGGCTATCAGGTTCGAATTGTTGTATCAGAAGTTGGAATGAGGTCGTTGTGTCATTTGGGGATTGTGTGCAAAATTTGAGGTCATTTGGAGATGTTTAGATGTGTTTCGGCATGAGTGTTGAATGTTTGGTAGTTGGTTAGTTTATTAAGCTTGAATTGAGGTGCGACTTGTGGTGTTGATGTTATTTTCGGTGATTTGAGGCCTCTAGTAGGTTTGTGTTATGTTTTGGGGTTAGTTGGTATAACTGGACGGGGTTCCGTGGGGCTCGGGTGCAATTTGGATTAATTTCGGACAATTTTGGTCTTTTCATGGATTGTTGGTTCTGGTGTGTCACACCTGCACAATATTGACATAGGTGCATGGTTGCAGAAGCGGCCGATGATGCACTTTTGGAAAGCTGTAGAAATAAGGAAATTAGCGCAGACGTGACTTGAGATTGAGAGACCGCATATGTAGAACTTTGTGCGCGGAAGCGGCGGAAGTCATCGCAAATGTGAAACCATCGGACAAAACATTATATTCGAGGGTTGGCTTCATTTTATCATATTTTGAGATTGGGAGCTCAGATTGAGGCAATATTTGTGACAATTTTCACCTCTTGATTGGGGTAAATGTTCTTGACTTGTATTTTATTTTTATATTATAATTCCATCTTTGAGTTTGGCTTTTGATTTATGAAATCTTAGGGTTAATAGGTTTTTGTGAGTAAATTTTAGAGAGTAATAATTTAGGATTTGAACCCCAATTTGAAGTCGGATTTGACTGAAACTTATATATTTGGACTCATATTTGAATGGGTAGTCGGGATTTGTAACTTTAGTCGGGTTTGGCTAGGCAAGCCTAGATAGACGTTTTGTTTAACTTTTTGATATTTGATCAAGATTGGAGCTTTATTGCAGGCCCATCTATGAGGCAATGGCTTTTTAGAATATTGTTTTTGCTATATTTGGCCTATTTGAGGTAAGTATCTTTCATAACCTTGTATAATGAAATACTCCTTAAGAGTGTATGCGGGTGTTATGTGTGGCTTATGTCCAGATTAGAAATGTAGGCTATTAATATACCTTAATTTGAGTATATATTTTGTATGAAACATTTTTTGCCGTAGTAATACTTTATATGTTAAACACCCATTTGCAATTTTGTGTTATTGTCATGTCCTTGTGCACTTTATTGATAAATTGTGAGCTGATATCTTTGATAAAGTTTTCATTATTTTTTTGGTGATAATTATGACACATGTAGACATGTTGAGCAGATTGATTAGATGTTGGAATGAGGTCTTTGTCGTGCATTTGTGAATGTTGTTGTACATGTGGGGAGAAATAAGGGTGCCATTTTCTCGGGTTGCCCACATGGAGAAACCATGGTATTGATATGTGCATGTGACGAAATAAGAAGGGAATTTATTGTTACTTGCACATGCGGCGAAATAAGGGTGGCATTGTTGATGATGATATGTGATAATTTGGGGTGTTTCTCTTGATGTTGATTATGTGTTGAAACAGGGTTATATTCTGATCGCATGCATACTTTGTTAAAACTCTGTCTTGCATTTTTATGAGTTGTTAGTTAAATTTGACGTTCTATCATATGCCCCCTCTTCTATTTGATGATTTGTTGGCAAAGGTGGATTCTTCTATGTTGAGTTGTTATCACTTGTTCTAACGAGATTGTTGGTGTTATTTTCCATTACATATTATGTTTCCAGCTATTGATACATTGCACATGTTATTTGAGTAGTGAGTATCAAATGACTTGAACCTCATCACTACTTCACCGAGGTTAGTCTTGATACTTAGTGGGTAACGATCGTGGTGTACTCATACTACATATTTGCATATTTTCTTGCAGATCCAGATGTTAGAGGGAGAGGATCTTGAGAGTCAGAGTTTGCATCGGTAATAAGTATTCAAGGTAGAGATGTATGTCTTTGCAGTCCCTTAGTGTCTCATCCTTTATGTTGATACTGTTAATATTACATTCGAACTGTATTGTATTTCGAATATTCTGTATGTATTCAACTAGAGCTCATGACTCTAGAATACCTAGTTCTGGTGAGATGTATTTAGTATTGTCCTTTCGGTTTGTGTTAACTCTATTTTTGCTTTTACAATAAACGATGTCTTATTATATCATGTTTTGTTGATTTAATGTTGATATCAATTTATCTTGTCATAGAGATTAGGTATCATCACGACCCCTTTGATGAGATTTTGGGTCGTGACAAGATTATATCAGAGCCTTATTTTTATAGGTTCTACGAGTCATGAGAAAGTTTACTAGAGTCTTGCGGATCGATTCAGAGACGTCTATGTCTATCATTGAGAGGCTACCAAACTGTTAGAAATCATCCCCTTTCTTGATTTCGCGACTTTATCTCAGCTTGAAGACTATATCTCCAATTCATTCTTATTCATTTTGTATGTGCTGTTTTTTTGAGTACTCGATATCAGACGGTCACTTGCGAGCTTTGATGAGGATACAGACATAATGCGAGATAACTTTCTATTATGTGATAGGTTAGAATACTTTTGTCACTTTGCGGATGAGTTGTCATCTATTGCAGCCCTGCTGATGGTGTTGCCTGCGGGTTTGCGGCTGTATGCAGTATAGTATGATAATTTAGGCATTGGTTTTGACGTGGTGCGGGATCATACTCGTGGGGTTGTTGCTTAAGCTTGCATCCATAGCAGCCTATGAGAAAAATACTTGGTTTACATTTTGGAGTTTATCATTTGTTCCATACGAGGCGAGGCATTTGGGCTATGGATGTTCAAGCCCTGGTCGATAGATTTATGAGATTGGGTATTTCTCGATTGAGTAAAGCTCTCGCTTGCATTGTTGCTTGGTCATCCTTATTTGAATGCATTAAAGGTCATCTATATGATGGTTACCTATTTACTGGCTCTTAGGCACATAGTGTTTTGACTTCAGTGTCAGATTTGTGTTCCAAGTGTTGATTATTTGAGGGAGATGATCCTTGAGGAGGCTCGTAGTTGTGGTATTCTATTCATCCAGGTATTTAAAAGAGGTATCATGATTTGAGTCAACATTATTGGGCAAGTTTCACAGTGTTTGAATGTCAGCTGGATAAGAATGAGCCCTAGAGACGGAGTAGTAACTTATGAAGATTTTTATGATGCGAGAGCGTATCATTGTGGATTTGGTGCTGGGATTGCCATACATTTCGAGGATGTTTGATGTTATTGGGGTCATAATGGACAATTGAGGGCGCTTCATATTAGTGGTGACTTTGAGAATTCGTTTTTATGAGAAGGGTTTGCTTGAGCTACAAGGGGATTGGGAATGCTTGATTGTCATCTTGGTGTGAATACGACTTTTGTTGGGATATGTTGAAAGGTCTTCTAGTTGTTCATTGATGAAATGAAATAGGTTTATGCATCTTGTGGATAAGTGTGGAATCATGAGGAGTCATTGATTATATAGCATTTTACATGGCAGGTCATAAAAAGATGTTCTTATAAGGTCACACAGGTGAGCTATCTCCTGTGAGGAGGTTAGGGGTTGCCTAATATCATATGAGATTTCTATGAAGTGTCCTAACTTATACCCGGTAGGATGTCTGTGGTACGAAATGGGTTTGGATCGCTTGAGGAAGATGTCACAATTGTCACCAAGTTGAGTGTGCCTTTGGGTTGATGATTTTGGGTGTGTTATGGCTGGTGCGACATGTGCTTATAAGGACCCATAGTACTATGAGCGGCTGAGATGATTGAGAACCACAAGTTTTCCGATATTATCAAACTAGGTGAAAGAATTGAAGAGGGTATCAAAAGTGGTATGGTTACAAACTTCGAGGCCTTGCAAGCTACAAATAATTCTTTACAGTCCGGTGGTGTGTCCAATAAAAGGGACGTAGGGGCCATGATGGCTGCACAAAGGACCAAGTCTCTCCTTAAATACCAAACTTACCCAATACCTCCACTCACATATCAGCAAACCCTAAATTACCAAGCACATTTACCCTCATACCAAACTCCACCAACTTATCAGTCACCTCTACCTCCCGCATATCAACCTACTTCACCTAGATACTCCCAACATGCTCATGTCTACCAAAGCTATAATACTCAACCTTCCCATTATCAATCACCTCCTGCACGCCAAAACTTCCCTAGACCTCAGCTAAATTTTGATCACATACCTCCAAAATAATATATAGCCATTGATGAACCCATTGACCATTTGTATGAGAGACTCAAAGCCGCTGGTTATGTCACCTTCATCTCTACTGCAACCACTGAGAACCCTTCTCAGTGGGTCAACCCAAATAAATCCTGTGCATACCACTCCGGCATGAATTGACACACCAGATGTCGTTCCTTGAAAGACAAGATCCAGTCTTTAATTGATAACAAGATTATTGTGGCAAAGGAACCCGTACCAAATGTCCGCAATAACCCTCTGCCAGACCATAAGGGTG